AGAAGAAATGTTCACTCTTGCTTCTAGTGACTTCAGCAATTGTGCTGTGATTCAGAAAAAGAAATCTAGTCTATATTTCACTCATTCCAGCTTACTTAATTAATCTTTATAATCACTGTTTCTTTAAATCTTTGCATTTCTGGTTTTGTCTTTAAATAGTTCTGAAATTCCTTTTAAAAGGCTATATTAACAGAAGAGTAAAAAGGGAACCCACAGAATGGGAAAAAATCTTTTGTAATGAAACATCAGACAAGGGACTTATTTCTAAAATATATAGGAAACTACAATACCTGTACAAGAAAAAGACAACCCAATTAAAAAATGGGCACAGGACATGAAAAGATACTTCAGCAAGGAGGAGGAGATCCAGGCAGCCAACAAACATATCAAGAAATGTTCACAATCACTAGCCATTAGAGAGATAATGAGATATTATCTCACACAAGCAACAATAGCAAAGATCAAAGAAGTAAAGGACAATAAATGCTGGCGGGGATGTGGAGAGACTGGGACACTCCTGCATTGCTGGTGGGACTGCAAAATGATTTAAAGTCTCTGGAAAGCATTATGGCACTTCCTCAGAAAGTTAGAAATAGAAATACCTATGATCCAGCAATTCCTCTACTTGGTATTTACCCACAAGAAATGTGAGCCATGGCAGGAGTAGATATATGCACACCAATATTCACAGCAGCACTATTTACAATAGCAAAAAGATGGAGACAGCCCAAGTGCCCATCAACTGAAGAATCGATACACAAACTGTGGTACATACACACAATGGAATTTTATGCTACCTTAAAGAATAATAAGGAGACTGCAAGCCACCGCATAACATGGATGAAACTTGAGGACATTATGGTGAGTGAAATTAGTCAGTCACACAAGGAGAAATACTGTATAGGACCACTACTGTAAAAGACTAAGAAAAACAACCCACACTAAAGGGGCAGGGGTGGTGGTGGTGGCTGATTCTTTGCTGGCTACTGGAATGAAGAGGGTGAGGTGAGGGGAGGGAGGGGAAGGTGGAGTACAGGGTAGGGAATAGACACAGGATAGTTTGGGCGGGGGGCAATACACAAGAAGGGGGAGGGGAATGGAAGAACAAAGCGGATGGGAGAAAAATTAGACAGGTTTGCTCGGGCTAAGTAGGACAAAGGTAAATAATGATGTATGCACAACCTTGGAACAACGGGCTCTAGGATACAGGGATTGAAACATGGTTGGAATGGGGAAAAGGAGGGAAATAATGTCTAGATGCTTAGCTGTCTTTTGAATCTTGGTTTCCCTGGCATACCATTATAAAATAGACACTTGAGGGGGAGAGAAAGGAATAGCCAGAAATATAATCATAGAACACTTGCAAGTCCATCTTCTGCCTATAACTGATTGTTGTTGTTGTTGTTGTTAAGTGCCGTCGAGTCGGTTCCGACCCATAGCGACCCTGTACAGGGTTTCCGAGGGTGTAAATCTTTACGGGAGTAGAAAGCCTTATCTTTCTCCCGCGGAGCGGCTGGTAGTTTCGAACCGCTGACTGATTGGAATACCTAAAATGGGGCTACAACGTGCGTGCCCAGTGAAGGAGGCTTCTTATGGAGCCTGTGCATGACATAAGACCATATGTGGAATCCTGAACAGCATCCAGAATCTTCAGAGAAGGGAAACTGCCATTTGAAAGGATAAGCAGACCAGCCTGGAGCAGCTAAAAGAACAGAAGATACTTCTTGAAAGAAAGACCAAAAGGAAAAAGACAAAACAATATAGGCACACCGACTGATTACTACAAGAACAAGCAAGTTGCTCACCCAGGAGACATCAAGGCAAGAGGTTGGGTCCCCTCAGAGCAAACCCCCTTCCAAGACTAAGACTCAATGGGAATACACTCTGTGATTGGTGACCAAGCTCGACACCAATAAGGGGAAGTGAGGGAAAAACAGCAATGAAGTGGTGAGCTAAGCCCTACAATTGACTCCTGTGAACACTGGTGAGACCTGGTTGGCCAGCCGTGTGGCAAGAACTGGGGACTCTTGGGTCCAGAGTCAGTGACATGGCCATAGAGGACTAGAGTGGAGAGTGAAGTGTCCAGCTGATAAGAAGAGAGGACATATGCATAAGAACACCCACAATTGCAGATAATACCCACTTGACCTGGCTTCCATGACTCAGAGCTCAACTAGAAGAAGAATGAAGAGGAAAAAAAGAGTAACCTGATACAATTTGATGAACTTGACCTACATCTATGGATACAGTAGCTCAAAAGAGGGAATAAATCTTTACAGCAACTATCATTCCCACCCCCTCCATACACAGAGTAGACAGGGATGGGCAACTTGGACATTGGCTATCCAAAATGGGGGGGCTACAAAGGCAAGAAGTGACTGGCTTACAAGCTTTCAAGAGGGAACCTAGATCCAGAGGGCCTGGAGGAAGGTACAATCTCCACTGAGTAGGCTGATGAAAGAAAATGCGGATAGGTCTTCTGTGATATAATAGTGAATAATTGTTATAAGGACTGATTGTAAGGGTTGGAAACGTAAAGGTAGATGTTTTGTAGCAAGGAGGGGAGTGACTAACTTTGCAGTCTAGGAGCGGTGGTCCCTGGGACCATCAAGGGAGAAGAGCGGAGAGCAGGACCCTACCCAGAGAAGCAGTGATGCCAGAGACAGAGGCAGACGATGATGTGGAAAGATGGAGTGGATGGGGACTTTAGACCCAGAGAGGGAATGAGGCTGTGCTGACGATCAGGTTAACAGGCTTGCAGAGTATACACTGTGGTTGGCTGGTGATGCATGGGGGGGATTGTAACCATGGCAATGATAAGATATAGGATAGGATGAATGTAAAATTAATGTTCTCCCATGTAAACTATCACTTAATTCACAAGAAAACATTAAAAAAAAAAAAGAGACTATATTAATGTAGGGCAAAGAACTAGATGTCTTTTGTACCTGGTTTTTTAAAACAACATGAGCTATTAAGGTGCTCTGTTTCTTTCTAAATAGCCAGGCAAGTAGGCACTACATAGGTCCATATCTGAAAAAACTAAATTTAGGAAGGAAGATAAGATATATTCATGCATATTCACTGACTGGATGGTACATTATTATGTGTCACAGCAAAAGTCATTCATATTCATTAAAGTCTCAATTATCAACTAAGGAGACTGAACTTTTGTAGCTCTCTCTTTGGGAAATCGTACTCCTTTCATTGTACAGTGAAAAATAAAAGGATACATGTTAGACTCAAAAATGACATGTTCAAATCCTGACTTTGGTTTTAATTGCATGCCTTCGCATAACTTTTCTTTTATTAGCCTTAGTTTCTTCTATGCATGATTGTTGTTAAGTGCAGCTGAGTTGGTTCTGACTCATAGCGACCCTGTACAGAGCTTCCAAGGAGTGGCTGGTGGGTGCGCACCACCGATCTTGTGATTAGCAGTTCAGTGCTTATCCTACAGCACCATAACAGGCCTCCAAAGACTTTAGGAGATATGAAGGCTATTTCTTCTCCACTCCTAAAGCTTACTGCTGTGTGCCACAGAATCAGTTCTGATGCAAAGTGACCCAATATAGGGTTTCTGAGGGTATATATCTTACAGAAGAAGAGAGCTTCACCTTTCTCCCATGGAGCAGCTGGTAGATTTGTAGTGGATTCAAACTACTGGCCTTGGGATTAGTAGCTTAATGGGTAACCCCCTACACTAGCAGGACTCCTTCTTATATGTATTATTGGATATAAAACTACTTGGAAGCAGAAGACACAGGTGGAGTGTAATTGTTAAAATGCATATACACAAACCTGCAATAAAGATGATGCATGCGTAGATAAATGGATAGACAAACAGGTTGAATTAAGTACGGAGAGAGAGCAACATTATACCTACCAATACATACAGATTTGAAAGAGATTATCTGTACATGCATATTTACATTTGCTGCAAATAAATCCAAATATGTGATGAAGCAAACAAAGAAATAAAACTATGTAAGACACAATGTAAACTGTCTAATGGTTTTATTAATACCTATTGCTGTGGAGTCCTGATGTGACGCTGTGGGTTAATGCACCAGACAGCAAAGCTGTTTGAACTGCAAGGTCAGTGGTTCAAGCTCACCAGCTGCTCCTCAGCAGCCCTGTACAGGGTCGCTATGGGTTGGAACCAAGTCAATGATACTTAACAACAACAATTGCTGTTGAGTGGATTCTGACTCATAACGACTCTATAAAACAAAGTAGAACTGCTCCATAGGGTTTCCAGAGCTGTAATCTTTAATGAGGTATGGTGCTATAGGATCAGTACTGGACTGAGAACCACAAGGTCGGCAGTTCCTCTGAAACCCTATAGAGGTAGCTACGACTTGGAACCAGTTCTATGGCACTTAACAATAATAATCTTTATGGAAGTAGATTGTCACACCTTTCTCCAGTAGAGTATTTGGCACATTCAAACTGCAGATGTTTTGGTGAGCAGCCCATGCTTAATCACTTTACCACCAGGCCTCTTATTATACTTAATAATATCATTAACATATCTTTATTGCTTTAGTTATTTCTATCTAAGTGAAACAGAAAGAAAATTTTGTCAGTAAATGTGGCCATTTTGGAAGACACAGAAGAAAAGGAAGGCCTTGGAGGGACTCTCTGAACACTCAGAGAAGAGGAAGGTGAGAAACACTATATGGGAACAAGCAGAAATGGGTATAGAAAAGGGGACTGCTATATGCTAAAGACAACTTCTTCTATTCTGCTGTGCCATAAAAGCCTCTGAATAACAAAGTAATCTTCACTGACCTTTTCTTTTACTGTACTCCTCAATAAAAACTTAAGTTGATTTCATAAAAATAAATTTTAAATTGCTAACTTCACAATCCAATTCAAATGAAGTTTCTGATAATCTATTCATAAACACAGCTGTCCAAGTTCCCATGATTTGATTCCTCAGACTTGTGAAAAATCCCACCAGCCCCAAATTATATAAAAATTAGAAAATCAAAACTTACTAAATCTTCTAAATTGAAGAGTTGTTCAAATCCTTCTGGTATGCAAGTTAGTTCATTATGCTGGAGATACAGGCCCTTCAGGTTTCTTAGGTTTGTAATTTCTTCTGGCAGTATTTTCAGTTTATTATGGCTATTGATTGACAAAATAAATGTTGAATAATTTGTTGACAATAAATAATTATCAGTTATAGAAGCATTTTGCTAACCAACTATATGGGCTTATTTCCAAAGTGAAATTTGATTACTAATTTTTAATACTTAACAAACTTCACATCTCAAAAGTATACACTCATTACTACAATAACAACAACCATTAAAATGATGGAAATTTCTAAGAAAAAAGGAAGAGAGGGAAATGTTGTTGCTATTAAGTACCGTGGAGTCGGTTCCGACTCATAGTGACCCTGCACAGGGTTTCCGAGGCTGTAAATCTTTATGGGAGCTGAAAGCCTCATCTTTCTCCCGCAGAACAGCTGGTAGTTTCGAACTGCCGACCTTGAGGTTAGCAGCCCAATTCGTAACTACTACGCTACCAGAGCTCCTTAGGGAAGGCAAAAAAGGTTTAAAATCAAACAGAAATAATTTGTAAATTTGTGATTATTTGTTTATAATCAATTCTTGAGTTTGTGTGTAATGTGAAACAACAATGTACACTTTATCATATTTTGGCTTCTAGAAAAAACTTACATATAAATATATTACAATGGGGTCACATTTTATGTGGGGATTAGGTTCTAAACTTAGCACTGAAGGCAAAAATAACTATTTCTGTTTGAGGACATGACATATCAAGTTGGATGTAATATGCTACTCCAATTTTCTTTGTACTTAGTGTTAACGTAGTTAGCTTAGCCCTTCTGTGAATATGTTTATAATACTGGTTCAAGGGAAGTCTTAATTCACTAAAGATGATACACGCACTGAGAATTAAGAGATGATGGAACTTGTTCCCAAACTTATCCCACCTTAACAATTCAACTACTAATTACACTGTATTTTCATGCCACATAGTTACTTCACCAGGTGACTTCCAATAACCCTCAACTGCATTGAAACAAAACTACACTTACTCCACATGGAGTCCTGGTGTGGTGCTGTAGGATAAGCACAGGACTGCTAGCCACAAAGTCGGTGATTCAAAAACACCAGCTGCTCCTCAGAAACCCTATACAGGGCATTCCAGCTCGACGGCATTGGATAACAACAACACTAATTCCTCACATATCATCTATTTTGTTATCCAACAATCAACATTTAGCATCTATGACAATAGCAAAAAATCTACTCACTATTTTGCATATTAACAATGTATATTTGGCAGAAGAAAACCCAAGGTGTTAGGCAAGAGTAATACTGGCTTTGATGGTTATACATCAGCTTAACTAGATGATGACTCTCAGAGGTTTGGCAGCTACATAATATAACGTGGCAACTATATAATGATGTGATTACAGTTATGTAATAATGCAGCCATTCTCTGTTTTGTTCATTCTTCGTTTCTGCATAGTGGTGATTTTCATATAACGACCTAGTCTTTGGAACCTATAACCATGTCGTTAAGTGAGGAGTGGGTGTAGTTAGAACAAAAAAGTCAAACAGTGTATTCTGAAATAAGGACCATGAAAATTTGTTAAAAGTTGGTTAGTACTGTTTGTTATTTAAATGAAATCTTTGATAGAGATCTAGTTGGCAGAGATTAATTCTAGTTTCAGTTAGGCAGCGATATAATTCTATCTTTATATTTCTTGCATTTTTTTTTTCTCACTTAATTCTTCTACCCTAACATTCACACACCTGAGTGTTAAATCTAAAGCTAAAGTCACACTCTTTCATGTTCCCTCTTTTCTTCAATTTGATCTTATCTAACTCTTGTCTTTGCAGGCCACAACTATACCTTTGATTTATAAAGGGAAGAGGTTCTCATAGTTCTAAACAATTAGCACTATTGTATGTATAGATATTTTTCCTAATTCATAGTAATTTGAAGTTCTGCACCAAAAGAGGACTATTATTTGAGGAGCTGTTTTCCCTCAATTTTCCCATTAGAATATTTAAGTTTGGCAGCTAGATCTGTAATATATGTTTTTTAGTTAAGGTTTTTCCAAATAAATTTGAAGCACTTAAATCTTTTTTTATCATAAATGAAGTATTTCCTAATCCCCTGGTATGTAATATAGATAAGGCAAAATGATGCTTTATTGAAAATACTGTTAGTATACTAGGGGACAAAAAGAGTTAGCTAGAGTCTAGTCACTTGGCATCCAATGTACCCATCCATGATAATACCAGAAGTAAATCCAAAGAACCTGAGGAGCCCTTGAAAAGTTTTAAAACTATGAAATTTCCATCATTAAAAACACCTAGATGTGTTTTAGAAACTTAAATATCAAGTAAGAAAAGAACCACTAAAAAGTGTTTCAAAAAATGAGTAACTATTTTTTTACAAAAAGCAAATGGCCCTAAATTCATGAGACCAGAAAATACATAGGTAATTCTAAAATAAAAAAATAATCTGGTATTTGAAACTTAAAATTCTTATTCTGCTTGAACCACTTTGAGATACTGTGAAGATACTGTATTAGAAAAAAAAAACCTAAAGATTATTAAATTTACATACTTACAATAGCAATAGTAAATATAAATAAGCTTAAAGTTTACCTGGCATTAAGTTTCTGTAGATTTTCTAGCTCTCTTATAGCAGAAGGAAGGGATGTCAGCTGATTATCATGTATCTAAAAATTATTAAAATATAAAATAAAAATTCTTACTCTTAAAATTTAACCATACATGTACTCTGCAATGGACCAAATTCTTCAAGAATAATTCTATTATTCTAATTCAATGGTAACATGTTGGACTACTGGTAATTAGTCCTGTGTGTAAAAGAGGAAAGGAACTTGAATCTGACTAAACTGCTATTTGGAAATAATGAGGTGATAAGTCCTCAATTTTAAATAGAAAAAAACTCACTTCATCAAGTAGAACTTTTATTTCAAATAAGAGGTAAGGGATTCAGGAACTAATAATCTTCTGATGGTATCCCATATGCCAACATAAACAAAAAATTAAAAGTATATAAAGAGGATCCTCACAGAATTATACTGTTTTCTAGTTGATACGAGTCAGAAATGGAAATCTGGTATTCTCACTGACTCTGCATTATTAACCATTATGCTATGCCTAAGACAGATTTGCTTTTTTTTGCCCCCTTGTATTCTACCAACTGAACATTAAAGGATTTCTGCTTACCAAAGCCTGAATTTAGCTTTAGAATATCTTAAACTAATGATTCATACTTATCATCAGGCAACTTACATCAAGAACAGTGAGAGCAGGTAGGAGTCTGAGGTCATCCGTAAGTGACTGAAGTTTATTGTTTGATATGATAAGTTTAGTCAAATCCGTTTGCTCCCACCATCGCTCAGTAGCACCAAATGAAACATTCTGATTAGCTTCCTCAGGGATATCCACATTTATTCTCCAGACACACTGAGGCACTATATTCACAATCACCACCATCCCCAAAAAAGATGAAAACAAGAAGTGGTTATATTAAGTGATACACTTTGATAAGTTATTTAAAACATCATAGATTATCTACTGAAAATAATCCATATTACTGAAACATTTTTAAAAACTATCAATGTTGTTGTTGTTGTTGTTAAGTGCCATCGAGTCGGGTCCGACCCATAGCGACCCTGTACAGGGTTTCCGAGGGTGTAAATCTTTACGGGAGTAGAAAGCCTCATCTTTCTCCCGCGGAGCGGCTGGTAGTTTCGAACTGCTGACCTTAAGGTTCGCAGCCCGATTCGTAACCACTACGCTACCAGAGTAAACAGCAACAAATTAAGGTCAGATGAGAAATATTTTCATTATAAAAATTAAGTATGTAATATGTATTTTACATAATAGAAGACACTTTTAATCTTTGTTCAACTGTACCAGGTGCACACTCTGCACAACACATTTGTGGTAGACAAACAAAGCATTCTACATTGAAGTTAGTGGCTCAATCCTTAAAAAGATGGACTGACACAGAGGCTGCAATAATGGGTTCAAACAACAACTCGGAGGATGATACAGGGCCAGGCAGTGTTTTATTCTGTTGTACACAGGGTGCCTATGAATCAGAACTGACTAAACAGCACCTAACAAGAATAACACAATCCTGAAAGAATCATGGAGATGGTATGTTGTTGTTGTTGTTGTTAAGTGCTGTCAAGTCAGTTCCAATCCATAGCGACCCTGTATAGGGTTTCTGAGGAGCAACTGGTGAGCTTGAACCGCCAACCTTGCAGTGCAAATGGCTTTTCAGGCTTGCGTATTAACCCACAGTGCCACACCAGGACACAGAAATCAACATTTATAAAGTAATGGCATAACTTTTATAGCAGAAGTATACATTAAAATTGAGAGGGCTGATAATAAGAAAAAATAGCTAATAATAATTAAAATATAATTACCAAAGATCAGACAAGTTTTGGGATGACATCAAGTACACCACACATGAAGAAAGCAAAAAATCAATAGAAAGAAAACCACCATAATAGATGTCAGAAGAGACTCTGAAACTTGCTTTTGAATGTATAAGGGGCTTCAAAAAGTTCTTGTAAAAATGAGATTAAAACATAATACAAAATTTCAATGAACATTTTGAAGTCCACTTCTAGCACTGCTAAAGCAAATGGAACAAATGGCGAAGTAAAAGCTGAAGAGATTTCAAAATGAGAAGACCAGAGTCAAGTGAAATGCGTGAAAACCAAGTTTCAAGGAATCTGTTGGCATACTAAGTTAAGCGTTGGGCTTTTAACCATAAAGTCAGCAGTCCGAACCCACCAGCTGCTTTACAGGAGAAAGTCTTTCTGCTCCCTTACAGACTTACAGTCACGGAAACTCTACATAGGGTCACAATGAGTCAGAATTGATTGGATGGCAGTAGATATAGGCAAAATACTAAATAACACAAGAAGCATTAAAAGATGAAAAAAGGAATATTCAGAATTGACTGAATACCAACTGAAATATTTCAATACCAAATACATCATGATACCAGAAAGAATTGGTCAACATTGCATCATTTCAGGAGGTAGCAAATGACCAAAAACTGACAATATTGTAGGAAGAATTCCAAGCTACACCAAAGAAAGCATTATCAAAAAAATAAAAAAATAAAAAAAAATAAATTCCAGGAATTGACCGAATACCAACAGAACAGATGTTAACACTGGAGGTGCTCACTCATCTATGCCAACCAACTGAAAGAGATACTGTTATCTAATTCAAAGAAAGGTGACTTAATAGAATGTGGAAATTATGTTACAATAATAGTAATATCACAACCAAGTAAAAGTTTGAAGATATTTTTTTTTTAAATTGTAGCATTTACATTGACAGGGAACATTCAGAAATTCAAGCCATATTCAAAAGAAGGCATGAAATAAGGCTATCAATCACTTCTGATATCGGACAGATTTTGGTTGAAAGCTAAGAATGCCAGGAAGATGTTTAATTGTGCTTTATTGACTACAAAAGCATTTGATTGTGTGTACCTTAACAGATTATAGATAGATAATACCGGGAATTCTAGAGCATTTAGAAGTGTTCATGAGGAACCTATACACAAACCAAGAGGTAGATGTTCAAACAGAGCCAGTGGTTGGATACTATATGATTTAAATTCAGAAAAGGTTTGTCAGTTATATATTCTTCCACCATACTTATTCAATCTGTATGCTGAGCAAATTATCTGAGAATCTGGACTATATGAAGAACACTGCATCAGGACTGGAGGAAGGATCATTACCAACACGCAATATGCAGATGATGCAACTTTCTTTGCTGAAAGTAAACAGTACTTGAAGCACTGACATGAAAATCAAAGACTACAGCACTCAGTATGGATTACACCTCAACATAAACAAAGCAAAAATCCTCACAACTGGGCCAATAAATAACAACATAATAAACGAAGAATCAACTGAAGTTGTCAAGGATTTTCACTTTACTTATATCCATAATCAACACCCAGTAAAGCAGTTATCAGGAAACTGAACAGTATATGACATTGGAACGGTACCCAGGTGGTGTAGCAGGGTTAAGAGCTGGGCTGCTAACCACAGAGTACATTATTCACACCTACTATTCGCTCCACAGAAAACGATGTTGTCTGTTCCTATATTTTGTTGTTGTTAAGTACTGTGGAGTCTGTTCTGACTCATAGTGACCCTGAATAGGGTTTTTGAGGCTGTAAACATTTTTGTTTTAATCTTTTATTGTGAATTATGTGACAGTTTACATGGGAGAATATTAGTTTTACATTCATCCTATCGTATATAGTTTCATTGCCATGGCTACAATCCTCTCCATTCATCATCAACCACCAAAGGGTATACACTACAAACCTGACCCCTGGTCGTCAGCACACAACCACTCTCCCTCTCTGGGTCTAAAGTCCCCAGCTGTTCCATCTCTCCGCATCATCCTCTCTGCCTCCATCTCAGGCATCACTGCTTCTCTGGGTAGGGTCCCGCTCTCTGCACTTCTCCCTTGATGGTCCCAGGGACCTCCACTCCTAGACTGAAAAGTTAATCATGCCCCTCCTTGCTACAAAACATCTACCTTTACATTTTCAACCCTTGCAATCAGTCCTGATAACAATTATTTACTATTGTATCACCAGAGACCTATCTGCATTTCATTTCATCAGCCCCTCCTAGACAGACTGGATACTGTTGTTGTTGTCAGGTGCCATCGAGTCGGAACCGACTCATAGCGACCCCATGCACAGCAGAACGAAACAATGCTCGATCCTGGGCCAACCTCACCACC